CAAATCAACCCTCTATCCTATAAGCTGTCCCTGTCAGGTATAGTAACCATTGCATTGTAAAAGTAATGAGTGACTGATTCCACTACTCCTTACTTGGATTTCCTTAACCAAGTGACCCAATTTCTCTCAACATCATTTTCCTGATGGCAGAATGGAAGCTAGTTAATACTGTCTTCACACTAAGTAAAACAAACAACCTAAATGCCCCTCGACCAAAGAATGGATTAAGAAAATGTGGTATATTTACTCAACGGAGTACTACATAGCAGAAAAAAATAATGATATCTTCAATCTGCAGGAAAATGGATGGAGCTAAAAAACATTATTTTGAGTGATATAACCCAGACACAGAAAGACAATTATCAAATGTACTCACTCATAGATTGTTTTTAAACATAAAGCAAAGAAAACCAGCCTGCAAACCACAATCCCAGAGAACTTAGACAACAATGAGGACACTAAGAGAGACTTACATAGATCTAATCTACATGGGAAGCAGAAAAAGACAAGATCTCCTGAGTAAATTGGGAGCATGGGGACCTTCGGGGGAAAGATGAAGCGGGGAGGGGAGAGGCAGAGAGGGAAGCAGAGAAAAATGTAGAGCTCAAAAAATATCAATAAAAAAAGAGATCCTTCAGAAACAGTGCATAGGTCAGTGTGTGGCATATCATAAGAGCTCATGAAATCTAAACTTTTGGTTGTATTAACTAGTGAACAAAAATTAGAAATAATGGACCGCTCACTGAATGGAGTGGCTAATATTCTAGGAGTTGAAGAGTGCCGTCAGGCTCGAAAATGTGAGTTGGCTGAAGTTTTGAAGAACGATTTAAAGGACTCTGAACATATGGGTTCAAAAAGGTTTGCTGCAACTTTTACGGCTTTGAGTCTAAAACTGTCTTCATTTTAAATGAAGTTGGAGCGTGAAGCTATTACCCAATGCTTCATGCATGTATATGGAAACTGAATGTACTCTGGCAGGTTCCTTTGCAACGGTGACACAATCTTTGGATCCTTCCCTGCCTGCCGGCCAGTCCTGCCTCCACTGAGGAAAGCTATATCAAATCATTATAGTCAGACTTCAGTTTTCAGTAAAGGTATCCCTGGCCGATTATTCCAGCAAGAGTGAGGTGTGCCCCTTTCTCAGAACCCACAAGCATCTTATGGTTATTTATGGACAGGCTCTTGGGTTTTAACCGACATCCAGCGTCATGTTTGACAGATTACTTGTGCAACAAATGACAAATGACTTGCAATGATGCACTTGGATGGAAGCATGTAACTTTAAAATTTTCATTGATCATCAATTACTATACTTAGGTTCTCATGCATTACAAATTAAAGACTTTATGGATGTGCTTTTGTCAGTACTATTTAAAATTGATTGACGGATTGATGGAAAAACTGACTGTTTGATTTATCCATTAAAATTTTTAACCCAAACCTACCGTCTAGAATCCAGACTCTAGAATACAGGGAAGATTGTGAGATGAAAAGAAGCTTTGCCTGAACTCAAGAAGCTGAAAGTCTGTGTGTACAATAATTTTTAACTGTACCAAAACTGCAAAAAATATGAAAGTTAGAAAAATAATATAAGGAATACATCGAATGAAGCTCTAAGAGAAGAGTACCAGAGGTGCTGTGATCATTCAGGTCGTGAGCGGGAAAGTCAACCACAAATTCAATTTCTATCTGTTGTTAAAAAGTCCTTGGTGTCTACTCAGAGACACCATTTTGGTGAATTCATCATAGTCTCCTAATTATGTGGATGATAAACTAGATGCCATATAAAATTCCCGAGGACAGTGGCTGTGGATCTCTTGTCCATCACCGTCTCCTTGGTGCTTTGCTTAGCCACAGCACATGCAGAATTCACACTTGCTTACTCTGTACATTGGTGAAAACGAACCATGAATGCAATGGCAGGCTATAGCAAGGGATCTGAATAGGATGTAATGTTGGTGGAATGTTTAGGATCCTGGCCTACAGTCTTGCTTCTGGAGAAGAGATTTCCTTCTGAGTTCAAATGCCCTGAATTGTATGTAGCCACGTTGTCACCTTTCAAAGGTAAAGGATCCTTAAACTGTAAGTGCATACACAGACATTCCTTGCAACGGAGGGAACACCCATGAAAGTCAGAGAAGCTTTCTCCAACCTGCCCAGATTTATAGGGTGAGAAGAGCTATGTGAATGTAGGCCAGAGGCCAAAGTTCCTCATTTGTTCCATCGCTGGCAAATGAGGGCCTCAACAAGATATGAATACTTCTGACTTTGGAAACTCTGCCCCTGAAACCTCCTCAGCCCAGGGTTTCTCTGCTCTGCTCTCTTCCCACATGGCCATGGCATCAGGCTGTTTCAGGCTCAGGTCAGCCTCCTGACGTCATTAGCAGGATCACAGGCCCTGCTAGAGTGGCTCCAAGGTCTGTCTCTGCTACTTTCTGTGTGGTCCCTGTTGGCTGGTGTTACTTTCCAGCGACTGCAAAATCAAGCAGCGGGGACTTCTGATGTCCAACTCAGCTTGCGTGTCTAGTAAATTGGAATCTAATCCAGAGGGGCAAGTCTCGGTTGGCATGGCGATTTATTAGTGCCCAAGTTCATTCTGTGCTGTGAGTGAAGCGCTCTTCATCCTTCTAGAAAGAGGGTCCCATTGTCACATTACAGCACCATGGGCAGAGGCTGTGTTTTGCCTTGTCCCTATGGTGCTTGGGTAGACAAACCCTCATCAATTGTCCCTTACTGAGGAAGTTTTGTCTCTGTGCCGGGTGCCAGGGCTTCTTCTCCACTAAAGACTCTGTAGGGCCTGTCTGTCCCTTGATGTCCTCTAGATGGCAAACTCAGTCCAGTTTTGAGCAGTGTCTCATGCTGGGCAAGACCCTGTCATAGAGTCCTTTATTGGAAATCCAGTTGCATCCAATGCACACGCAATCCTCAGAAGGGCTTCAAGGCTCTGCAGATGCTAGCTATGCAGGTTGCAATCCTTCTCTGGCAGGGGTATGGTTGTTGCGGATCTATCAACTTCCCACCTTTTTAATAGAGTTATCTGGAACAGGCAAAAGGAATCCGCTAGCTTCAGGAGAGACAGGTTAGGTGAAAGACACTGACTACAGCCTCACACGGACTTTCTCATTTCAGACTCACCACAATCTACAAAATAACGAGTGTTATTATTTGCCTATAGAAGTCACAGTAGTGTGTCTGACCAAAAGGTTATTTCTACACGGCTGGCTTGCCGTGCTACACTCACGTAACCGTAAGTCTTGTGTCTCAACCAATTTTTATGTTTTCAGTGTTTTCTCAAGCACAGGAAAGGACAAAAAAAAAATCAAGGGAGAAACAAAGGAAAACAGGCTCATCTTAATTAAGAAACTGTTTTGCTTATGAGATAATACAGAGAAAACAGGCAGCTTGAGTAAGTGGGGACTGCCCTACTCTGAGCAGAGAGGACCAGAGGCTGAAGATTTTTAGCAGGGTGGGGTTATGTGTCAATAGAGTTCATCTCAGCTTACACAGAGGGTTCATAAGACACAGTCCACTGAAGACTTTGGTAGATGCTTTCTGGCTTGGGTAATGCTTGTCTGCAATTTCTCCAGAAACAGATCCCTACTTCTCTCTCTCTTACATAGTTGACTGTTCCTTTCTAGAGAAAAGTAACTGGGAAAACCCATCAATATTATATTTATGTCATTCAAGATAAATTCATGGGCTTATCGCCTTCCCAACCATACTAGAACTTTAAGTATTCCAAATATATTTTCCCTTAATTTTTCTTAAAATATTCCTGATACTTTGGTACATAGTTTAAATCCACTCTGACAATGTGTATCTTCAGTATATTAGTGTAAAATATATGGAGAAATATCTATCTTGTCTTCCTTGTGCTTCAGTCTATGTTTCCATCTACATCCTATCTAAATCTTTCTTTTGTTTCATGGAGGCTGGGGATCTGGGCTCAGGTTCTCCTACATATGTCGCAAGTGTTTTTACTTACCGAGCCTTCTCTCCAACCCTTCTATGTGAAATTTTATTGAAATTGCTTATTTTGTCATATATTTTATTTTAAAAGTCATTCATAGATAAAGTCAATGCTTGGGTCATTTGAGTGGCAGGATTTGTAAATTGTTTCTTAAAATCCCCTCTTCATCTCCATCCTTTATAGATCCCATGTTTAGCCCCTCCCCTTGCAGTATAAACTCTACTTGTGTTTGGGATACCACCCTGTAATTGGTTATGCTAGTTAACAATGAAGATAAGATAGTTATGACTTATGGTAAAAGTCCCTTGCAGCAGACCGAATAGGGATTCTCTAGCTGACTTTGAAGAAGTAAGATACCAATTTGTGAGAGTGCCACATGGAAGGCTTACGGGTGATTTCTAAGAGCTGAGCAGCCAGGTAGAAGCCTAGGCCTTGGGATCTACAACCATTAGCCAGAATGAATCTGGAAGAAGACCCAAACCTACATGAGAAGACCGTCTCATTGGTTTCAGCCTTGTGAGCCACTGAACAGAGAACCTAGTCATACTGCATGTGCTCTTCTCATCTTAGGAATGTATGAGATAACTGTCAGTCTAAGCCTCCCATTTCCCCAAACTCATTCTATCAGGACATAAATACAAGCCATTATGCATCTACTTCTGTGGTTTTAGTTGTGTTTATCTTGTTTCATACTGTACTGGTAGTCTGTTTATGTAAACAACAGTAGAAGCTTGGAATAATATCCTTGTCCTCTAGCAAATGTTGACTTTGTTTTTAATAAGCATCTAGGGTGAGGATGCCATCACAATAATACCAGAAATGAATCCATTCAAGATTAGGTTGCAATGTTTTTGACTGAATCTAAACTTGACTTTGGGTCCATTCTTAGGTGTAGTCTTACTGGGTTTCCACCTCTGAGCCAGAGAGACATCCCTTAAAGAAAGCCCAGACCTTCAGGATTTTAGTAATAGTGGAAACTCTGTTGTGCTCTGCAGATGATTATTGACTTATATTTTTCTCTTGTCTGCAGGAAACATTTCCAGCTCCTTCTGAATTCTCACCGATCGTGTCTGTGGTAAGATCCACGTGTCTACTGACATCCGTTTAATGCAGTAGAGGCCTTTGCAGCCAAGTTTTTAGAATTATTCCTCTGCCTGCCTAGAGTACAAAGCGATTTCTGCACTTTTAAGTCCCATTTCACTAACACTTCATATTTTAGAGGAGCAGGAATATGAGGAATAAATATGAAGAGTTCATTGCAATTACTTGGTTTATGAATCTGTAGGTATTGGCTAGGCAAACGCAAATCACTAGAATTAGTTATCTGAGTTTTCAGTAGACAGAAAGGATGGGAGCTTATAGGTGTGGCCTGTGGTGACCACAGTGGGATTTTTCTTTTCTCTGAAGGAAACCTTAGTACCAGGTTTATTTCAATCTACCGAATTCTGTCTGTAAAATTTATCTTGGGTAATTTAAGTATTGCTTACTTAAAGTTGACTGCTTGTAGACTTTAATAACATCTGTAAAATATTTTTATAATAACATCTGGATTAATGTTTTATTGAAAAGAAGTACGACAGGCTACTCTAATTGATACATCCAAGGGATCCTCAATAAACTTGATCTGACTTTTGCCAATAATAGGAGTTTGTCATTCTGCTGGATGGAGTATCTTAAACCCTTGATTCCACTTCTCCCATACTTAAGGTCAGTTGCCTTCTCTTTACTATTCCTGTGACATTCCATATGCTGTGGTGTGTGTGTGTGTGTGTGTGTGTGTGTGTGTGTGTGTGTGTGTGCTCATGTGCACACACCCTCAAATCAGAGGAAACCCTTGAATATTGTTTCTTAGGTGCCACAGACCCTTTTCATTCACTTTTTTTTTTGAGGCAGTGTCTCTTATTCCTGGAAACAGACTGTATAAGCAAGGTTAGCTAGTCAGGGAGCCCTGCCTGTCTCTACCTCCAAAGTACTTGGATTACAAACACCACCAAGTCTGGCTTTTAAAACGTGGATATCAAATGCGGGTCTTTGTACTTGCAAGATGAATACTTTACTAAATGAACCATTTCCCTAGCCTTTCATATAGTCTGATGTTGTAGCAATTCCTGTACTGTCTTAGAAAAGTCAGGCTACTTATCCACATATTAATATCTGAGTTCTAAGAGGTTAGTACTGGGGACTGGAGAAATGGCTCAGTGGTTAAGAGCACTGACTTCTCTCATCCAGAGGATCTGGATTTGATTCCCAGCACCCACATGGCAGCTCACAACTGTCTGTAACTCCAAGACCTGGCATCCTCACACAGACAAACCTGTGAGCAAAACAAATAAATACTAAAAACAAAGGTGTTAGAACTGGATATCATATACAATGTCTGATGGTACACAAATGATCCATAAGTATATTGAAGTGTCTATTGATCTGTGTCAAAGTAGAAGCTTGCTTTTTGTTTATTTTAAAGTCATAATTGTGAAGAGTGAGCCACCTAACTATCCAAACATATAGTGAGATTAGCTCCTCCACCGTGTTGAGATAGTACAGAGGAAAATTTTATAACTTTATTAAGGGTACTCCTCCCAAAGCATGGGTAGACGAATGGCAAACAGTGTAGACTTCTGCAGAAATCCGTTTGCTGAGTATCTTTGCATGAATGGACAACAAGAGAGTTCTCTTTCCCTGACGTTCTCATTAGGGAAGAATTATTGGAGTGAAGCTGAGCAGAACTGCTGATGGCAAGTGGAGGGAAGAGGCCAGGAGACTTCCAATCAATTTCTCCTTCGGAAAGGAAAGATCTAGGCAGATTAGTTGCTTCACCCTCAGTGTGACGTCAGAATCTCTTCCGGACTTTGTGCCATCAAAACAGTGCTGTATCAGGGGCAGAGCAGCAGGAAAACTGACCTCTGGTCCCGCCTGGCATCCCTTTGGCTTATTTTGTGGCATCGTTCCCTGTTGGAGAATGGTTAGCCAGGTGTCGTACATGCCTGTAATTCCAACTCAGATAGGCGGAAGTAGCGGGAGTCCCTGCAAGTTTGAGGGCAGTCTGGATGCCAGCCATGCATACAGAGTGAGACTCTGCTTCTGAACTAAAAGATAAATAAGTAAATAAAAACGAAATGGTCATGTTCTGAATAAGGAGCTTGGCTACTGGAAGGGTACCGTGGAGGTGACCAGCATTCAGTCACAACAGCCTCATGATAGGGTCACACACCGGGAGTGGAGGGTTGGAGTTTGCTTCTCTGAGGGCTTTCATGCAATTTTGAAAAAAAAAAAAAGTAAATCTTTTGGACAATGGGCGTTTTGCTGCAATTTAGTGGAAGACATTGTCAAAACAACTTGTTTCTAATTTGGTAAGTAGAGGGTCAGACATCTGTAATGGTGCCTGAAGTTTGACAGCGCTCTGCATGTGCAAAGGTGTGTCTATGCATGTTGTATGTTATGTGTATCTCTGTGTGTACATATGCACATGAGTGTGAAGGCCAGAGAAGGATATCAGAAGTCTTTTTCTATGTCTTCATTATATTTTTGAGACAGGATCTTTTATTTAATTCAATGCTTACTACTTTAACTAGGCTGAGTGGCCCATGAGCTTTTGGGACCTACCTGTCTCTGCTCCTCCAAACATTGGGGTTACACTGCCATGTATGACTTTTTATATAGGCATTGAGGATTTGAATCCAGGCCTGCTTCAATGAACCACCTCTCCAGTTGTTCTGCTCAAATCTGCGAAGGACTACTCTCCGATACGGGGTGCGCCTCCCATATCGAACCACGAGACTGGATCAATATCCTAGGAGTTGAAAACAGACACACACAGAGACCAGGATCATTTGCCCAAAGGGTAAATGTCAACTTTATTCAGCACATGTTGGGTTTATATACTTGGGGGCAAAAGGGGAGAGCCCCCTACCACCTGGGAGTGAGATTATAGTGTTGGCCGCCTGGCGCCAGTGGCCGGAGCTTCCATGTAGGGGGTATCGAGCTGGGAACCCTGATGGACAGATGGGAGGAGATTTAGGGCGCCTGTGAGGACCTTCCTTAGCAGGTGAAATTATCATAGCAATGACAGAAACAAGGCTCTGAACTAATTCCCTCCAGGCTGGCAGAATTGAGCAGGGGAAGCTAAGCTGGTTAGGGTAAACATTTCTTGCATCCTGTGTTTTGGCCTCGAGGAACAGGGAAGACAGGGCCCTGCATCCAGTCCTGGCAGGACTTTTTAGGTCAGTTTCAGATGGACTAGATGAAGAGAATGAATAACTGTATTCCCCATCACAAGGAGAGTACAGATTTTGGAGTCAGAAAGACTAGCATTGATGTTACCCCAACGCCGAAACATGGATGGTGGGTAAGCTCTCAGGACTATTTTGGCCACATGCGAATGGTTATATCTTTTTTTGGGGGAAAATGTGTGTGTGTGTGTGTGTGTGTGTGTGTGTGTGTGTCTGTTTGCACGTGTGTGCGTATGCATGTTTGTGTGTACACATGTGTGCCAATTGAAATACTCTGCTTCTCACCTAGGCTCCCTTTCACTTTTTTTTTTTTAACTGTATCTCCTTGGATACTGGAAGCTACTGGGACTCTATCAGTTTTCCAAATCATGCTCTAGAGTGGAGCTGAGCAGTAAGCACACTAGGTGACTAATTGCAGCCATCTGCTCTCTTCTCAGGACTGAGCATGAGAATATTGCCAGTCACAGGTCTTCTCCAAAGTACTGTTTCCTCTCTTGGGCAAAGACCGTCCTTTATAGTCAAATGGGGACAGAAGTAGGGATTAAAATAGGACCAACATTAAGAAAGAAACTAAGCAGAAGCTGAAGAGAAAGCACCCTCAAAAGGAAGTGGAAATACAGGAAGATCCTTCTACATGGCTCAGCAGCATTGCTTTGGGTACTAAGACAAAAGCGTTCTCATGCTTTAAAGTTTTGGTTATTTAGCAGAAGAAATTGCAATTGTGGCAACTGCAAGATGCAGGAATTTTTCTGAGTGGAATTCAGTTCACTGTGTAGCTGGCTCTTCAGCACATGCCCTGTGGCCTGTGGGGTCTGCTTACTTCTCATGGCATGTAAGCTCCAGGGCACGGACAGCAGTCCATCCTCTTAACTGTTGTGCCTCAACCAACTGACTCATCCACTCATTTGAAAACATGTTATGTTCTCATCCTTTGGCAGAACTTTTCTACACACAGTGAAAGAGACAAAAATTATCTGGCTTTAATACAATGCTTATCTTAATATGAGGGTGGTAGATAATAAGATTATGTATATATATGCATGTATTCTGATATATTTATTATAAATATGAATTTTTTATTTTTAAAATATATTTTCAACTTTTTTTGAGATTATAATATGATTGAATCATTAGTTTCTTCCCTTTCCTCCCTTCAAGTCCTCCCATATACCCTTCCTAGCTTTTTCAAATTCATGGGCTTTTGTCAAGAGTTGTTACATATATACAGACCTATGTTGTGACAGCCATATATATGTCTGTATATTCCTAAATGCACAAATGCATCCTGCTCAGTTTGTATAGTGTTACTTATACGTATGTTTTCCAGGATGATCATTTGGTATTGGGTAACCAATTAGTGGACTCTTCCCTGAGGACTTTTAGTAGACACTTCGTAGACTCTCAGTATTCTATTCTATTCTATTCTATTCTATTCTATTCTATTCTATTCTATTCTATTCTATTCTATTCTATTTTTCACGTCACATTTTTAGTGCTGACAAACCATCATTATTTACATTTATTGGGCACAGATAGGATGTTTTGAACCATTTTAGTTTTGCTTGGTGTATGTGTATATTTATATGCACATGTATGTGCACAGTCCATGACTGTGGATGACAGAGTCACATCTCTGTCTTCCTCTATCATATTCTACCTTATATTTTGAGATTAATCTTTCACTGACGTGGAGCAATTCTTCAGGTGGACTTCTTGACCAGCAAGCTCCTGCTTCTGCCTCCCCAGTTCTGGAACTGCAGCTTGTGTATTTATGCTTGGTTTCTCACATATTTTAATGTCTGCTTTTAGTTCTTTTGATTTGAGCTCATGTCCTCACTCTTGTACAACAATTACTTGATTAAGATTGTTAAGTCAATATAGTTAACACTCATCATTTCACTTCATTTTCTTTTTATCTGCCTATCTATCTATCTATCATCTATCTATCTATCTATCTATCTATCTATCAATCATCTATCTATCTATTTATCTATCTATCTACCTAGCTATACTGGCTGTCATGGAACACCCCTATATAGTTCAGCCTGATCGTCACACTCTCCTTGCCTCCTTCTCCCATTAAAAACATTTTTCATTTTGCTCATGCTTTTTCCTTTCCCCAAACTCCTTCCAGATCCCTATCACCCAACTTCATGGTCTTTCTTTTTTCGGAATACCTAACAAAATTAAGCAGGTGATAATCAAAACAGTAAGAAACCAATAAGACAAAAAAATTAGAAGACAAAACAAAATGAAACAAAAAGTCCACAGACAGCAACAACTAAAAAAACAAAGATCATGGAATTTATTATGTGTTGGCTATCTCCTCCTGAGGTTAGAGCCTGTCCTGGAGTGTGGTTGATATACCTAGGACATTGTACTAGATAAAACGGATTTTCCCTTTGCCAGCTGGATTCAACTGCAAATAACTTCTGGTTAAAGTAGGACCTCTTATTCTCTTCTCCCCCACAGTGTTCAGACCGTATCTGACATGAACCTGTGCAGGCCTTGTGTCTGCTGACACAATCTCTGTATGTTTTTATGTGTTTTAATCCTGCAGTGCCCGGAAGACACTGTTTCCTTGGTGTCATTTAACACCTCTACCGCTTAAGGTATGTTTTGCTTTCTAAGCTTTGAGGAAGAGGGATTTAATGAAGACATCTTTTTTTTGACTGAGTGCTTCAAAGTCTCTTACTTTCTGTTCATTGTCCAGCTGTGGGTCTCTGTTAATTTTCATCTGCTATAAGAAGAAACTATTCTGATGGAGGCTGAGCTAGGCACTTATCTTTGAGTACAGTAGTGTTATTAACATTTTATTAAACATTTTATTTCTATAACAGAATAATAGTATTATGTTTTTCCCTAGCCCCATGATCCATATAGTCACAAGTTTCTGACCACTTTAACAGTGTCAGGAGTCTCAAGCAGCAGGCCTTACGTCAATCAAAAAGTGCTTGGTAGCTGGGTGGTGGTGACACATTCCTTTCATTCTAGCACTTGGGAGTCAGAGGCACGAGGATCTCTGTGAGTTCGAGGCCATCCTAGTCTACAAGAGAGAGTTCCAGGACAGGCTCCAAAGCTACAGAGAAACCCTGTCTTGAAAGCAAACAACAAAACAAACAAACAAAAATGTGGTTGGTTGTTTCCATATCCATTTTAGCACAATTATACCATTATCTTGAAGGTAAGTCTCTATTGTAGGTCACAGGGTTTGTATCTGGGAGATGTTGATGGTTACTCTTCTCTAGTAGAGTGCAGAGTACCCCTGGTACCATGAGCCACAGTCAGCAGGGGAGAAGTTCCTAGTTGAGCAGCAGCTCCATGTCTTTCTCCCTATCACATTTTCATGGTAAAGCATCTGTAATTTACTCCTAGGTTTTTTTTTTTTTTGAGATATATAATACAGTATTACTGACTAGAGTTCTCTGCTGTGTACCACAGTGTCAAACGTATTCTTCCTGTCTGTCTGGAAGTGTGCCCTTTGATAAAATCCTCCCATTCTTTTTCCTCCTTGTCCCCACTCTTTCAGTATAGTTCCACACTTTATGTTTAAGAGTTCAACATTTAGATTCCACATCTGAATGATATCATACAGTATTTGCCCGTTTCTGGTTTACTGCACTTAGCATATTTGCTTTTCCATCAATAAACATTATTGATTTATTTAGCATAAATAAACTTATGCTAATTCTATATCTATATGCTAATTCTATATCTTGCTTAATTTGAATAACTCTGCAATAAACACAGGGGTGGAAAAATCCTTTGAACATACTGACTTTAGTTCCTTCGGTAGCTGTGTTTCTTATACCAGTTTGATTTTCTCTAAATCCTCTCCATTGCTCACCTCTTACTTAGCTGGTAAAGGCCATTACATGAGAAGTGAGGTGGCATATTATGGCTTCAATTTCCATAGTGAATAGTGATGTTGAACATTCTTTACTCGTACCTATTGGTCATTTGTATATCTTTAAAAAAAGAGTTTGCCCATTTTCAAACTGAACTTTTTCTTGCTGTACAGTTCTTTGAGTTACTTATTTTATCAGATGTACAGGATGAGAGTATTTTACCCCAACCGGTAAGCTGTCTTCTTATTTTATCATTGTTTCTGTTGCTGTGAAGAGCCCTTTGAGTTTTTTCCCTCCCATTTGTCTGCTGCTGTTTTTGCTGCCTATGGTTTGGGTTTCTTGTAGCTGACAGTAACCCTTTGGTTCTGTCTTCCCTCCACCTGCAGTGGCTACATCCCTAGAAACCAGAGGCTTTGGAGGCATTCTAATAACTCAAGTCCCCATCTTTCTCATCTTCTTAGTTCTCTTAACCTGTCAAATATACAGATGTTTTGTTCCAGACATTTTGAGTAAAAACTTCTTTTAGTTATGCACACCTGAATTTTTGTTTGACCTTATCTGACACATATTAATGTCTGCCACTAGATTTTTAAATAAAAGCCACAAGCTGACATTTATTGAAGACTTGCTACATTCTCAAAACGGTTACAGTACTTTTATGTACCTTAAATGTGTTATATCACCTGTAATTCACAATAACAATACAAGATAGATATAATTAAGTTCATTTTATAGATAAGTAACCCACCCAAATCTCGAAAATTTTAAATCATTTAGCCATGAC